TATTCTTTTATTATTATTATTTCCCATTCAAGAAGATTTTCTCCTAAAAATCCAGAAAAAAATTAAAAGGAAAGGAAGGAATTTTTTCACATAACAATTGATTTAGACTGTCAGATTGAAGTTGCCTGATGGGTGGGCCGTAGCCCATAAAATGCAGAGGTTGATCCTAGCCAATAGATAGTGTAGTAGGGATGAAATTAAAATAAATCACACCTTAATCTTAGGGAACGCATTCTTAATAATTATTAATTTCCTACACAGAATTAAACATAACCACACACACAAACATAAGATGGAATATGTACACGGGAATCTGATTGATTAATCAAAAAAAAAAAGTACCTTGAGATTTTGAGAATATTTCGAACACAGGAAATACAAATGGTAGTACTTGATGTAAAGCGTTGAACTCCAAATCATCAAAGGGTGGGGATCGATGGAGCAGGGTGCACGTGATCGACATTCTCTGACTTTACCACATAGAGTCTCCAGTAACGCAGGTCTCTGCATTTGGAGGGACGCTAAGCGACCATCTCAACTACTTGAAACAAGCTGATATGCTGTTAGAAGTTGGTTTTGATCGAAAAACTGAGCGAAGTTTGTGAAGGAACCGAGAGATGTTGGAAGATCTCTTGGACACCAGTTCTGGCTGTGGCTGGGGTGGTAGAGGATCAGAGAAATGAGACGTGGAGGTGATGGCCAAGTCGAGCTGACGTTTAAATGCATTGAGCTCGAATGAATCATATAGAGAGCTACCACAATTCCAAACTGGACTCTTCTTTTCTTCTTCATCAACTTTCTCCATATATTTTCTGAGTTTGGGAGGAAGAGATGATGATTGTACTATATATGTAGAAGGGGAGATAAGAATTAGGAACCAACCTTGTCTGTAACGCACAATGTGGGGAAAACTTTGGCTGTCAAAACAGGCAACAGGAATTTTGTCACATTGTCAATAAAACTAAACAAGGCCCCATTCAGTTCTGTTAACTTCTCTTTTTTTTTTTCTTTATAAATTAAAAATTCTTCATCATTCTTGATGAAGATTGCTTTTCTTGATGACATTGCTTTGTAAAAATTCACATTGTCACATTGCTTTAATTCTTGATGAGACATAATTCAGTTCCATAAAATCATCAAAATCTAGTGTTAAATTCAGTAATAATTTAGAAGTAAACGACAAGACCAAGGTTAGGCACATCTACAACCTCTAACCTCTGAGTACTTTTCGAACTATAAGTAAAAGTTTGCAGTGGATCAATTGTAGTGATGAAAGATTAGTAAAGGGCTTATTATTAATAAAGGCAAAATCTAAACTAGCAATCCACCTACTGTTCCAGAAATTTCATGATGATTTTGGTGGGAAGGAATATAACGTGTTCCATATGCGTGTGTCCCTAGCAACACGATGAGGTGGACTGGACTGGAGTCTGGAGGAGCCCAGCAGCCCAGCACGATATGATGGTCTTAGCTTTTATAAATGAAGATGCATTTGCCTCTCATAATCTCATTCGATGCTAAAACGGATCGGTGGGGCTCCATACTCCATCTCTTTATCCATGTGATGTACCGGATGGATTTTACGGAACCTAAATATTAGGTCCATTTGGTTGGGTGTCTCTTCCGCTAGCCCAAAAGTCAGATTTGATCCACGCAGGAGAAACTTTACTAAGCAAGCAAGCCGGTATCCATTACGAATTAAGTGGGTCGATCCTACGGAATTGCGATAATTCCGTGTTGGGCCGCTGCTACAATGGGGTCCATTGAGAGAGTATTGGTGAACACATTACCGGGGGTAACGCAAAACAAACGTAGCATCATCATTCACCGGGGAAGAATGAATGAAGATCGACCACCGACATGGGCACCAACATTCAAGGACTGTGATAATATGAACCACATTTCATTTCACAAGGAACCAACTCTTTTTCCAATAAACCTTATTTCTGAAGGCCCATTTACATTTGATGGCCCACTTACATTTACTCTATTTGCCTACCAAAGATAAAAACTTTACGTGTACTGACTACTGATAATAATAAGCACATTAAAGATTTGGATGGTGAGAATTCATGACAGTCCCCATATTAGTAGCCCCCTATGTAAACTGCATCCTGCCCGTGAATTTGGCATCAATATATCGTCAGGATTTATCCTCCTGTACAGTGGGTTTCAAAAATTCTGATCTGGACTGATCAGTCATTCTCTCTTGAATATTTGGATAAATTGCCCGTGAATTGCTGGAACCCAAGACCTTAAGCAAGGCTTTCCGGCCGGCCTTACTGGAGGAGGAAGAATGAAACGCATGTAGAAGAGCGGCGCAGGTGGAGTTACCCAAAAGCTGACCACCCCTTAGAACTTTAGCACCAAGGTCTCTCATTGAGGGAAAGAAGCCCATTCCGCCGGAAATTCGGAGACTAACCCCTGTCAAAGCCAAGGAACGAAGGGAAAAGGGGTTGTGTTTCAACTGTGATGAAAGGTACGTGTCAGGGCATCGCTGTAAACAGTAGAAACTGTTCTAGATCTTGGCTGACCCGGATGACATTGAAGGAGAGGACGATGAAGAAGGACTGGAGACAAAGGCAGAGACCTCTCTGCATGCTATCAACGGTACAGACAACCCCCAAACCATGCGTATCCAAGGGACAATCAATTCCTACCTAGTCATTGTGCTCGTGGACAGCGGTTTATCTCACAATTTTCTGGATCCCAGAGTGGCACACAAGGTTCAGGCCCCAGTATTGGAGGACACCCAATTCTCTGTGACTGTTGCCAGTGGAGAAAAGCTCACTGGAAGTGGTAAGTGTGAGGGAATCAATATTAAGTCTCAGGGCGTCCTGTTTCAGTCCGATTTTTACTTACTTGACCTCCCCGGGTTTGATGCCATATTGGGGGCTCAATGGTTGCAGACATTGGGGATGTCACTTGGAATTTCTCCAAGTTGACGATGAGCTTCCTTGATAAAGGCGAGCTGAGATTGCTGCACGGGTTACAGAAGAAAGAACCAGAGGTGGTGGATGAGAAGAGAGTTCGGAGGGATCTGAATAGAGCCTGCTCGGTATACCTTGTGCAGCTCAACCCGAGGAAGGAGGAAGGCAAACCCAGTTCCAATCTGCGAATAGCCCTCTCTAGTACAACTGTTAGAAGAGAATGCTAATGTATTTGAAGAGCCGGCTGGGTTACCCCCACACCACCCGGTCAACCATGCTATCCTGCTGATCAAAGGAGCCCAACCCGTCTGTCAGAAGCCTTCTCGGCATCCTCACTTCATGAAGGGAGAAATTGAGAAGGTTATCAAGGAACTCCTGACCAAAGCTATGATCCGACCCAGTCACAGCCTGTTTGCTTCCCCAGTTCTATTAATCAAGAAGGACGGGGATGGAGGTTATGTATAGACTACCGAAAAATCAATGACCTTATGGTCAAGGATAAATACCCCATGCCTATCATAGACGATCTGTTAAATGAATGATATGGAGCCACCATTTTCTCGAAACTGGACCTTAGGTCCGACTACCACCAGGTGTGGGTCAGAGAGGAAGACATACACAAAACAGCTTTTAGAACTCATCAAGGACATTCTGAGTTCCTAATGATGTAGTTTGGTCTCACTAATGCCCCCTCAACCTTCCAGGCCTTGATGAATGAGATATTTCAAGACCTATTGAGGTGGACAGTGCTGGTTTTTTTAGATGACATCTTGTTTACAGTAAAAGTGTAGAGGAGCATGGGAATCACCTTCAGGAAGTACTTAACCGCCTATGATGCCACCAGTTGTATGCCAAGAGAAGCAAGTGCAGATTCGGGGTAGCACAGGTGGACTATCTAGGACATGTGATAACACAGCAAGTGGTAGCGGTTGACCCCGCTAAGGTGAGCTGCGTCCAGGACTGACCTACCCCACGAACCATATCAGAACTAAGAGGATTTCTGGGCTTAACTAGGTATTATCGTAAATTCATGCAGAATTACGGTAACCTGGCCAAATCACTCACGAATCTGTTAAAGAAGGGAGCCTGGAGGTGGAATTAAGAAGCGGATCAAGCATTTCAAGAACTGAAATTGATGATTTCACGAGACCCTTCACCCTGGAGTGTGATGCCAACAGAAATGGGATAGGGTAAGTTCTGTCACAAGAAGGGACCCATTGCTTATTTCAACAAGAGTCTCAATGCTCGGAATTTGGGGCGGCCAATATATGACAAAGAGTTGATTACTTTTGAATCGCTTCCCCTTAACTTCAAAATACCCATGCCAATTACTTTTGACAAAAATGTTAATTTTTCAACTTTTAAGTTCTATTTGTTTTTAGAGATAAGTAGACTGCACTCCACCTCAGAAATCTGAAATTACAGCCCCCTCTGGTCTATAAATCGCATCCTGCCCGTGGATTTGGCATCGATCCACAGTCAAGATTCATCCCACCTCTAAGGTAGAGCTCAAATTTCTGGTGTGGACTGAACAATTCATAAAGTTTGTATTATTTTGTTTTTTCTTTCCTCAGAAATAAAAAAATAAAAATAAAAACCTTGATGAGAGAGGTTTCAGCAATGGTAACAAACTTTATGGAGGCATTTTTCCCTAAATATTTTTCAAATTCAAAATTGCCCTAGTTGACTTTACCAAAATACTCTCAGTTCAACTGTTTTTATCTAGGGGCGTTAATTTGACAAAATTTGGTCTAATTGGATCCGGTCTAATAGAAGTCCATTACAGATAGATCAGAGGTCTACAATCCGATAGAAAGTTTCTAAGCTGAAGAATAACAATTCCCGAAGACAAAATTCTGAATGTATTTCTTACTATTTCACCTATCTACCTGCATGGAGAGCATGAGCCCTTTAATGGGCCTTGTCTCTGCTTGTTCTTTAGATTTGAACAGCCCATTTCTAAATGTTATATTTCTTACTATTTCACTTATCATTCCTCATGTGTTTAGACTTTTAGAGGGGGAATATTTTTCAATCTAAATTTCAAATTCAATGTAAGAGTTGTTCACAGAAGTAGGAATATTTTTCAATTTGAAATCCCAGTATTTCTATTAACCAGGAACCAGTTTCAAAGATGAAACGTAAGCTCTTGGAATAATCCCAAGTACATGGATTCAAAAGAAAATTGCTTTTTTCTCAAAAACAACCAAAACAAATCAAAAGCAGACTACTTGTTCAACGTGTAATCACTTGAACATGATGAGAAACTCCTATGGGCTTTCATTTTTGTGGCTCTGAATCAATGGTTGCTGCTCTAGATTTGTTGTATTCTTCCAGTTCCTTTTTGTAAGCCTCCATGGCCTCTGCTGCTTTAGCATTCCATATCTGTTTATCAGCTTCACTAAATTCCTTCCATTTCACTGAAATCAGAGCATTAAGGGTAGAATTGTTAATGCCCGGTCTTTCCTGTAACAAATTCTTCCTCGCTTCTTTGCTGCATTGACCCAAAAATACAAAACTAAGTTAGAAATGAAAGAGCTCCAACTGCATTTGGCAATTAAACTTGACAAAATGAAACCATGTATCATAGAAGGAACCTGAAGAGAAGGAATGACGAAGCTGGTTTCTTTGGCTTGTTGGGGTCCCCATTCTGTTCTTCTTTTTGTTTCTTTTTCTTCTGTCGGTTTTCTTTTGTTTTCTGCAAGCAAGAAACCAAAATTTACTTTACCCAAAATAAATAAATAAATAAAATCCATAGCTCTCAATGTGATGCAATGACAATTCGCAAACCTTGATCAAATTTTCTGTTTTCTCTTTCTTCTTCAGTAGCTGCAGTGCCTCATGTTTCTGAATTTTCATCTGCTCCTCCTCTTCCTGTTTAAGAGCTTCAGCTTCCTCCTCCTTCCTCTGTTTGTAAAGCTCCATTTGTCGCAGATATTCTTCCTTCTGCTCCTTTGCAATCTAGAAGATTCCAAGAGAAATTAAAACAAAAAGCACTCGAGAAGATTAAGATGCAGAATCTGCACAAGCAAGCCTCTCCAACGAGATTATCAACCTTTTCATAAGGTCCTCGCTGTTCTTCCGTCATGTTCTTCCACTCCTCTCCAGCAATCTTCGCAATCTACCCAACACTCAAAAATGTTAATGAACAAACAAAGACAAAGCTTCATTCAGATGATATAGGGTCCACCCACTACCTCCAGAATGTTGGTGTTCTCTGCGAGCAGAGTTTCCCTTCGCTCCTTTGAGAAAATGAAGAAGGCTGAGAGAGGCTTTTTGGGCTTCAGTGGATCGCGTTCTTTCCTGCAAGAGTTGAAAGGAAAAAACAGGCAAGCTGTAAATGCCTTTACAAGCAGAGCTAAGAAACAGAAAGGCCAAAAAGCTGAACGGGATTTACTTTGCTTTGTTGTTCTCTTTATCCAACTCCTGTTACACATTTAAATTCAAAAATGTCAGGTTCTTTAATGCCAAGAGAGATTTTCCAGATACCCAGACTGAGGATGGACCAATTCTAACCTGTTTGAACTGAAGATATTGCTCGAGCAACTCCATTGCCGTTTTCTGTTTCTGTTCATCCTCGAGAAGCTTCATTGCTTCATTCTCGCGCTTCTCCTTACCGATTATCTGTAGATAAGCTTCCTTGTCAGCCTGGTACCGTTCCTCGTAGGGCTTTTTCTCTTCTGAGCTGAGGTTCTTCCATTTAGCGCCCAATATGTTCGAGATCTCTTTGAAATCCGCGTCTGGGTTATTTTTCTTGGCCTATAAAACAGAAAGGCCAAAGCATAAAAAATTTCGAACGGGATTGAAACGAAAACTCCGGAGTTTGAAATATTTCGCCGTCTTACCTCATTCCACTGGTCCTTGCACCACAAGACATAAGCTGGAGACGGCCTTTTCTTTTCCGGGCATGCGTTCTTTTTTTTCTTGTTCTCTTCCTTTTCTCTCAGAGATTGAACAACAATGGGAAAACTCTACAATCGAGGAGTAAAAGAAAAGCACGATCAAGAACGAACCCCAAACAAGGAAAACAGGGGAAAAAGGAAAAGAGGCCAAGAAGACAAACCATGGTTGGCTTGAACTCTTTTAGCTTCTGCAACTTCTTCAGCTCCAGTTGGAGTTTCTCCTGCTCCTTGCCACGATTTTCCAGTTCTTCTTGTTTTTGCTTCAACATGTCATCTCGAGCCTTTAGGAGTTGTTCAGTCTTCTCCTTTTCAAGGCGCATCTGTTCAAGTTTCCCTTGCAGTTCTTCCAACTCTTTCTCGAAAGACATCTTGGACTCTTTCTTCTTTGAAGCAGCTTTGGTTTTCTTGGGCGAGCGAGGCAGGGAAAGGGTTTCATGATTCTCCTTCTCAGCATCTTGGAGCGGTGGTAAGGGGGAAGGAGAAGCTTGAGAGATCTTTCCCGCTAAGATGTTGGCCTCATTTGCCGTTGCGTTCTTCGGCTTCAAGGCCCTTCGGTTCCTTCCTTTCTTGGAAGGAACAGAGTCAGTGTCCACCTGCATCTCAGCAACAGTAGTGGCGTCACACACTGCTGATGGTGAAGGAGCATGGGAGATGTTGATATTGGCGTCATTTTCCGATGAGTTTTTGGGCTTCGCTGCTCTTTTACTCCTTCCTTTCTTTGCAGGTACGAGGTCTGAATCCATGGGCATAATAGCAGTAGTAGACATGGCTGCACGAACACACAAAAAGGAAAGAGAGAGAGAGAGAGAGAGAGAGAGAGATGAAAATGAGAGATGAAGAACCTGTAAGGGAGCTTATAAATGAAAAACAGGAGGTTCCCAACGGTTACATTTTTCAAATTCAAATGATTCTATATTTCAGGTTCGTTATACCGTTGGCAGAAGTGTAACGGCGAAGTTTGAAATTTGAATAAATATAACGTTGGCCTAAGTCAACGTTGAGGGTGCTTCTCTCTTCTTATCTAAGCGCCTCAGGTCAGGTCCTCCGCGAGTTCAGATATGCGCCCACAGCACATCTCCGCCGTGTATTGAAAATATCTCACGATGATAGTATCAGAAATGATGATATATCTGTGGGGACGTTGTGGGACGCAGATCTGAACCCGTCTTCCGCTCCTTTATGCTTTTTACTGCTTTTACTTTTAGGCACCCATCGTCTCGTCGAAGCGCAAATGCAGTCCGGATGGGATGGACTCCGGACATCGGAAACATCTCACGTGGATAGAAATGGAAAGATGCTCCTAATGCACGGCTGTAGTGTATCGTAGATAACAGATCCGGAGACGCTACAGGCTACAACCGACACATCCAGACCGGAACCGGAATCAATCCCTATTGACAAAGAGAGAACATGGGCCGTCGAAAAGAGCCTTAGCCTTTTCACAAGGAGCGAACCTGGTTGTCCCATACTCCATCCCATGCCCCCATTCGAGTTCATGAAAGGACAAATAGCCAAGAGATTGATTGCATGTTGGCCGTTGGATAATATTCACATCTGCGCCCCACAATGCCCACACACATCTCACCTTGTATTGGGAATATCACATCTACCGATAATAGTGTGGAAGATGATGAGACATCATCGGTAGATGCTCCCAATACAAATTGGGAATGTGCTGTGGGGCATAGTGGGGCGCAGATGTGACCACGCAATCAGCCCCTATCCTTTCCATGTTATTGGGCCAATTAAGTGTATTAATGGTAGCACAAAATCCGCATCCTGATTCTCCTTTCCGATTATTGATTACTTGGATTCGGACAATGTGATTATATTATAATATTTATATTATAATATAATCAAAATCTGATTATATTATAATATTTATTGATTTTAATATATAAATTTTATATAATTATATTTAAAATTATAAATATATATATATATTTATATATTATATTATATATGAATATATATAATAAATTTAATATATTTTACATTAATTTATTATATATAAAAATTGAAAAGTAATTAATTTTTTTAAATTTTTATATTTTAAAAATTAAAGTAGATTAAAGGGATGAAGTACGACAATCTAACAAAATCAAATACATTTTTAAGAAAAATAACCAAAACATTGAGTGGGAGAGGTTTTGCTTTTTTCTGAACTAAAATGCCCCCAACTCTTGTTCATCACCACTGTTCATTGACTAACATCTCATAGGCAGTAAAGCGTCATTCGACGGAGAAGAAGAGACAACGACCATGACTTCAGCATCTTCTTCTAAATCGTAGTCTTCCTCTAATCTTCTAGCTTGGGTTTGTCTTTTCATCGAATCTTCCACGACTTCAACCTTCCTTCAATAATTTAGGTGGCGTTCGATAGCATGTATATATCGTGGACGGGACCAGTTCACGATAAGATATGGCATTGTGTTATGCGTGGACGGTCCCCGTCCACAAAATATCATGGACAGGGATGAGCCACACCCTAATTTAATGTCCATAGTATTTTCTCATGGATGGTCCATACTATGGTGTGGACATTTTGTGGGAAGATTTCAGTGTAAGACACCTACCTTACAATGGTCCAATTGCTCTCATTTTATTTAATCTTTTAATAATTTTTAATTTTTAATATTTTATCAATAAAATAATAATTTTTAATGTTAATTCTAGTACAAGTCCAATGGTTCTCCTTTTCAACTCTTTTTTCATTATTTAAATATTAATTTTTTAATATTTTTATCAATAAAATAATATTTAAAATAATATTTTTTAATTATTTAAAAATACAATTGTTGTCTACATATTGATGCATTTTTTTTCAATTTATTTACCATATAAAATGCAAAAATTAGACATTTATGATCGACTGTGCAAATCTCCCATAAAATGTATATGAGATACATGGAATAAAAAAGTGTGTTGTCGATAGACCTGTTCATGGGCTGAGCCGGGCCGAGCTCGAGCCAGGTTTTCACTCTGCATTAACAGATTTTTTTAAGACCCGAGCTCGAGCCCAACCCTCATAAAAAGCTCGAAGCCCGAGCTTGGGCTTGAGCCCGAAGTATATAGTTCATGCCACTGCTAAAGAGAGAGAGAGAGAGAGAGAGAGAGAGAGAGAGAAATTTTAAAGAAAAAATAAAAAATGTATATATTAAATTATTAATATACATATTATAATAAATATTATATATTTATATTATATAAATCAATCAGGCTGGGCTTTTTTGACAAATTTCGAGCCCGACCCAACACACAATCGGGCTTGGTGTTTTGGGCTCGAGGTCAGGCCCGTAGGCCTAATTACATGTCCAAGCCCGATCGGGGTGCGGGCTGGGCCGAGCCATCGGGTTACCCCGCCCATGAACAGGTCTAGTTGTGGACCAGTCCACACCACACCTACAAAATGCCACCATGGGTGTGGACTGGTTTGATCCACACAATCTATCTACAGTTCAAAACAATCGTGGACTATGGTGTAGCGAGGATTGGTCCCTACCACAAGGTGTGGTGTGGACCAGTCCACACCTGCCAATTTTTCATTCACATTATAGAACACCCCCTTAATTGGAGAAACAAAAAACATCTTTTCCAAATTAGTCGAGCAATCCTGGGTTTCGGCCTCTTCACAGTACAATTACAAAGCAAAGCATCCCAAATCCAATGGCATTGGCATTTAGAAGTGGTGTCGATGCTTCTAGACTTAGGCCCTGTTTGATGATTAAGTACTTGTTTTGTTTTAACAACCCTTTAGGCTGTTTGGTAACCCACTTTTTCAAATCACTTATTATGTTTTTAAGTACTTATTGGGGTGGGAATGTTTGATAAGCTACTTTCCTCATAAGTGTTCATATTTATACAAATGACAATTTTAACCCTCACTTCTCTCATACATATATACAATACTTTTCAATAATAATAATAATAATAATAATAACAACAACAACAACAACAACAACAACAACAACAACAACAACAACAACAACAACAATAATAATAATAATAATAATAATAAGACGATGAATAGGGGAGAGGTTGTTGCCACTGCAACTCCCCTATTCTCCCTTCGAGCGACAGAGAGCATTGACAACCTCTCCTTAGTCTTTCTCTCCCCCTCTCTCTATCTCTCCTTTTCTTCTTCTTCTCCTTTGTTTTTGTTCTTCTATAACCACTGAACCACAAACAAGACATTGTTCATCTTCCTCTCCAAAAGAGAACCAACGGCGGCTGAACGTCTCTCTTTCGGTTCATTGTCTGGTTCCTCTCCACGAACAAGACAATGTTCATTTGTTTTAGAGATCTAAGATCGAGCTATGAGCTATGTTTCAAAGATCTGACTTCAAAACATAGAGGAAAGAGGCCAAACAGCAGGTCTGCCGGCCACGGTTCCTCATCGCCAATCGTCAACGGTGGACCTGCAACTGGTGCATCGCTGCTGCTAGGGTTTGAGGGTCGAATGAGTGGAGAAGGGGGAGGTATAACCTCATAGGGGGGTATTTTAGTCATTATACAAATTTGTCAGGGACTGGTCTGTCCTAATATTTTGGAGAAGTACTTCTTCAAGAAGTACTTAAAAAAAAACAACTTGAAGTCACTTTTTCAAAATACTTAAAAAAAAAACTTTTTTCCCACTTTTTTACCAAACACCGATAAGTACTTAATAATCACCTACCGTGTAATTCCATGTCTTAAAAGAAATATTTCTTAAAAGAAGTACTTATTAAAAGTGTTCTAAAACAGGGCCTTAGACGCAGCTTGCTTGGACCTTCTGACGCGAATTTGCCTGATAGATGAATTCTCACCGATGTCATCGAACATTAACGCTTAGTCGCTTACATAAAGAAGGGCTTTTTACATTAAAAATGATGAAGTATGTCCATTTAACAAAATCAGATACGTTCGAATGAATAGTGGTGTTGCAAGGAGGGAGGTAATGAACAGTGACGTTCAAGTTGTGGAAATTTTAAAAGGACAATTTGATCCAAAAAGATTAAATTTTTTTTGTCATGCTCACTGTTTTTACTTTTTTTTTAAAAACATAGCTGATTTTAATCAAACTTTTGTAAAAAGTCCTAGATTAAATCCAAATCTGACCCGAGTCCAATTAAAATTAAAAATGGAATATGAGGTCCATTAATTGGATTTTCAATCAGATTCAGATTCAAGTTCTAATAATCGGATCGGATTTAGCTGAATTCGATCCGATTACAGCCGTAGGGCCAACTGCACAAGTGTCATCACCCACAGCAAGTCTTCCACCTGTAGATCGGAATCGGATGAAAATTTCTTTCTTTGATTAACATTTTATTATTTTTACTATGACAGCACAGCCTGCTAGTAAATGCAGATAAAAATATGGAATAACTTTGTAGATTACAATTTTCATTCCAAATGCCATGGCTACCTTCATTCCAGCTCCATCCCCATCCCCATCCCCACCCCCACGAAGGCCCAAAGAAAAAGACAATACGCAAAACGAAATACCAGTCATCGGCCCGACTCGACGACGGATGGTGGTCACATCCCACCAATAGAGACAGACATTTGGAAAGAAATATATGGTGATACACGACAAGGCAAGGCAGAATCAACCCCTCCAATCTCTCCAATAATCGCGATCCAAAGACCTCAAAATCCCCTTGGATGTCAAGGAAATAATAACAATGTTATATTCAGAAGAACCCAGAAGGGTTTCAGCCATTTACAACCAATTCCATCAACAAATCGTTCCAGGAGTCTATGGGCCCAGGCAAACACCAATGCAGGCAGTCATATTGAACTTTTGCATTTTTATCCACTGCAAATGGCTGGAAATGTCTGTATGGACCTGGGTGCCCATCAGGCCTTAATAAAGAAAGTTGGGTTGTGTCAAAAAGTTTCAGTTTCACCCCATTTTCAGATGCTATGCTCTCTGCTTTTGCAAATTCATCTAACTCAATCTCACGCAATACCCTTTCAGCCAATTTCGCTTCAATCTCCCCTTCTTTAAATGGTCTCTTTCTATCGCAAGTCCCACCATTGTGCCATTCTCCATTCTCAAAATGATCTGGTGTTGAAGTCCTGAACAAAATCAGCCCCTTGTGATTGGATGTTGCGATATAGTTAAGTACCAGATGAAGGGCTTTGCGATAAGCATGGCCAAATCCAAGCTCAGTTAAGCTCTTGTCTGAGCAGTAGTGGCAACCCACAATAGTGTCATTCTCATGGTAGACCGCGGACTTGAGGAACCATTGTCCTCCAGAAATTATCATGTAATCTAGACTTTGGTATTGGTCTGTCCAATTCTTTTCAAGTTTGTCGAGATAAAGCTGGACTTCAGATGTTGAGATTCCGTTAATGTCTTCAAAAATGGCAGCTTTTACAAGGAAAGGTGACCAAATCACTGAGAGAGTGAAGTTGTAGGATGGGAAGTACCATATTCTGGATCTGTATTCTTCATCATGATAGACTTGTACAGCTTTTTCTACCTGTGTTGTATACAAATGTCAGCTTCCAAACAAGGTTTCTGTATTACATTTATTCAATTTATAGTAAGTTAGCAACAAGAATACAAAACAGAATATGATGATGCAGAAAACAAGAAAGCATGACTAGATATAAGGTGTTAAAATTGTAAAACCACTTCTGGAATATAAATATAAAGACTTGTGGAGTGTGACAATTATAATTACAAGTGAAAATGAATGGGCAAAACAATGAAAAGAGTTCATATTTTGAAAATTTTCCGCTGTACTTTAAATGCCTTAATTCCTTTATCAGACTTAGATATTAAAATATTTGGATAACTACCCTTTGTAAGAACTAAAATTATAGAATGCTATTAAAATATTCTAATCTAACTTTTACCGCCTGGATGTGAAGCCAAGGCGAGTATCGGCATTATAAGTAAAGATAAGAGATTCAGTAGATCCTCCCATAACTCCTTTTTGAACTTTGACAGGTAAAGTTCTGCAAACTACAGATTAAATTGAAACAAAGAGCACCTATTGACTCAAAAATGATACTGCATTATTTGTTGACACCTTCCAAAAATGTGTTGTTTATAATAAATAAATAAGGTCTTTGAAGGCAATTCAATAAGGGACCTCACATGAAAGGATACTGTTTTTTAAGCCAATCTCCATGTTGTTTAGACCACATGCCATCTAACACCAATCAACTGGTGGAAAGTCTCCCCCCGCCCCCCTTCCCCATATGACACTTGTTAAAAGAAGTAAGCAGAGAATACACAGATATCTTTCATGGGAAGTAAACAGAGAAGGGCAATGACTAAGAGGTAGTAATTATTTTGTTAGGTTATATCTATGGTTTACATTCTCAATTGCAGTAGCAGATGGTATGGCTTTTGTGGTAATTATGGTTGCACACAGTGGTTGTACTAGAAATGGTAGCAACGGGAGGGTCTTGGCAGATAGACGTAGTAATGTCAGTGATGGTGGGAGTAGTGTAATAATACCATTAGGTGCAATGGTTCTAAAGATGGTGGCAGTAACAGCAGTAGCAGTGGTGATGTTGGATATAGACATAACGAGGCATAATGGTCCTCATAGTCATGGTGTTAGTCTGATACTTCTTGATTGTGCAGTCTGACCATATTGAGTTATTCCTATTTGCAAGAATATATGTTTTAACAATGTATACAAGGTGTCTGTGAGAGACACTAGTGTAAATACGTAATATCTACTGTGTAGATAAACTGTTCAATGTGTAATGTTAGGATGGCCAAAATTCCTCCAACATAAAAGAGTTGAACTCCCATACACAAGCCATCATTAAAAACATGTAATCGAATTTCGTTTTAAATAAAAAGTAAATAAATACCCAAATATAGTGGACTTCATTTCAAACAATATGTTCCAACAGAGAAGGACAAACAAATATGATTTGATATTAACTGACAGGGGTTATGGGAGAAATATTTCAGTCCGGTGGACACAAGCCTGGGAGATGAAATACAATAACCCCAAAATGGAAAAATGAGCAAGATATTGTTATTAACGGTTATTAAAATTTAAATATTGAATAGAAATAAATACATGAAGCAACAAGTAACATAGTTTAGACTAATCATTCATAAACACTCGTTAAACTCTCATCAAACTGACAAAACACCATTTGGAACATATATTAACAGGAGTGTAACCAGGAGAACATGGATTGACATTAAATTATGATTGATATCTTTGGTACAGAATGGGTGATGTTCATGGGGACTGGAAGCATGAATACATAATCAGTCTCCATTTAGAGAGAAGTTTAGATCTCTTAGTGTATCATCCTCCTCTTGGCAATCCTATGAATATATAGAGGGAAGGTGCAAAATACAATTAAAGATACTGAAAGCTTATTAAAGTTTTACATGACTTCAAGATTCTAGCTCATAAGAGCTAAAATCGACTAGAATAGTCAAAGTAACCACTGTAAGATGGAAACAGCCCACCAAGTATCACAGGATGAAATTGTCATAGTAGCTTGATCATTAGGATAGCTTTTTAATTGTCACCTCTTAGTACCAGTTTGTGATGTTTCTTCCTTTTTTACGAAGTACTGCAACCATGATACATAAATTGGATGGTTTTCTCCATGGAAAATAGCAATTTTTTTCTCCCAAGTGTACAGAGCAATGAAAACAGCAAAAAATATGTAGTCATTTCTTAAAAGAAAAAGGCAACACAAGGAAAAGACAAACTTGAATCCCAATTTAGAGGACCTAAGCTTACACTGAACTAGACACAGCAAGCATAAGATGTATGCACCTTGGAGAGAACGCAAAGCAGTGACTGCACATGGTTGCGAGAAATTGAATCACCAATCAATGCCCATGCTTTATTCCTCATCAACTCAAGAAATTTCTCTGCATTAAACCGTTGCAGCTCACAATCCCGGGGGCTCCACCTCCAGTAAAGATACTCTGAATCAGGGCGACCATTCCTCATGCAATTTTGATGTTCTTCTATGAAACTGCAGCTCTCATTTGTGTAAACTGGACCCGATGGGTTTGGGATCCAATCTCCAGTGAAGAGATCGCATTTTTCTGGAATTAAACCTGTGCTATTGCAGAATAATTAGACTAGAACATAAATCAAATGGATGCATTGTAAAAGGGGAACCCAGTAAAAATAAATTGAAGCGAATCAAACTGAAGTATGAGGCTAGTAGCAACAAAATAAATGAACGAATGCAATTGCAGATCGATTAAACTGAAGCAAACAAAATCAAAATCGAATCTGAAGTACACTTACTGGCGAAACAAACTGAAGTATGAGGCTATTTCCAACAGAAAACACGAATTTCTTTCTATTGTTCTAAATGAAGAAAAGAAAAGCTTTCTCTTCATTTCCCTTTTTTTTTATTTTGTCTTTCAGATAAAACTTAGGTTCAAACTGAAGCTGAATCAACTTCTTTCTACCAATCTTTAAAACAAGAAATTACTAGATTGATCTCAAAGATTGAACTGCACCATACCAATCTGGTTCTCAAAACATCCAGAAAAGTTTATCCAAATTTAAAAAAAAAAATCAAATAATATCATCCAATAAATGAAACAACAGACTTGCTTCAAAAAATAAAAATAAAAAATGAAACAACAGACACACAGACAGAAAATATGGTATTTTGTATAACTTTCTAGAAACCCAACTTCTCTGATTTGTTTCTTCCGTTCTTGCATTATTATATAAAAAAAGAAAAAAACAAAAGAAACCTCCGAAATGCCGTACCTTTCTGAGGTGTCTGATCATCAACCTCCGGGGCATCTACGGAAACCGGCGTCTCAGCAGGAGCGGGTGACTGGATAGACACTGCTTTCTCTAGAAAAGGAGATTCAGTAACAGGAGGAAAACTGGTGGAATGAGAGAAAAAGAGGCGAAAAGCAAGACCCAATAGAAGGATCAAGACAAAGAACTTGACAAAAACATGGTTGTGCTTGTGAAGGGACATTTGGTGCTTCCAATTGAATCTCATCTTCTTCAACATTTATTCTCAGGAAAGAAGAAAATCCCCCTGAAAACAATTGAAGATGAACAGGACCCAAAAGCTTTTTCCACCACTTTCCATATGGGCAATCAACTAATCAACCAAAATCTCAATAAACCACACAAAGAAAACAACCGCCTATCGTCACTTCCTCTCAGCTTACCTTTTGGCTCCACTCCAGTCCAGGATGTGGGGATATCCGTTATCATGATTCATAACAACAGACGGGTTAATCGGGTACCTGCTCCGTCCCGTCCCTACACGGATGGATTTGGGTCGAATTCGAAATATTGGTGTAACTGCGTGGGCTGCGTCCTAAATAGAAACTTAGAGAGGCAATTTCCGTGCTGCCGACATTGGGTGATTGGCTGCCCCAGTAAGAGGTGGGTTTGGACTTTGAAGGGGCGGAGAATCGGGTTGAACCCGAACCAAACTCAAGGCTTTGCTTTTGATAAAGTAAAATAAAGACCAAGGTAAGAAGTTGACAATTGGGCACATACAAAATGACAATAATGCCATCAACAATAACTTCCATTTAGAAGAGGCCAGTCTGGCAAGCAAGCGAGAATCAAGGGGTTCAAAGGAAATTTCAACTTTCAAGAGGGGAAGGAACAAGGAGCAGGATGTTCTTGGGAAATGGAGAAGTTAAAATATAGTGGATAAGTTACGGAAGCTCATTGATAATGAATTAATTAATAACACTAATTTTGGGGCCTCCAATTGCTTTGAATATTAATGTATTAAATTGAATACAGAAGAGAAGCATATTATTATGACAGTTTGTGTGAACTGTGAACTATTAATATATTGCAATCAAATAATAATAATTCACAGGTTTTACACACACACAAAATATATATATATATATATATATATATATATATATATTTACATTTAAACCCGAAATATGCATGAACCCACTACAACAATTTAATGTGTATCCCATACTAAATAATATCTATCTATATATATTTTATACATGTCAATGATATATGTTTTTTTTTTATATCATGTGGATAAATATTAAATAAATTATAAATTGAAAGCATGTAATGATGAAATTAAATAAAAAAAATTGTAAATGAGCAGATAATTTTAAAATGAAATTTGCTAAGTTGTATTTTTTTACTCGAATCGATGAATTTTAGTAGAATTACCAAACAAAGAAAAAGAAAAAGAAAAAGAAAAATTTGGAGATGGCTCAGCCTTTTAGGGTGTAATAATTGATATAAAGATCCATCACATAAAGGTTTTAATTTAATTAGATAGCAAATCACTACTATAAATATTATATCATCATTAGGAATAATATGTATATGAAAGGATGTGTAAAATACTTGAAAATTTATATATACACACACCCCATAATATTAGAGAAAACAAACTTCCACTAATTTCAAGTATTGTAAGTCATGTGCCATGAATGACTAAACTTCCACATAGCTAAACTAACAGAAATGTTGCCTACAACTATGAACAACAACAAAAGAGTTTAACTTAATTACATTGCATTATTTCCTAATATTGTTTGTATCTTATTTCTTAATTCTAGATCTCAATCAATTATATTAAATTCTATATTTTATATTTTATTGATTCATGTTTTACAAAATATATTTTTATTTCAACTAATTAATCATATCCTTTGTACAAGATAAAATGGATGCATCATAAATTTTGCGATGAAAAAAAATGATAATAATTTTTCATACAAGATCATGATCATGAGAGATTAGCATGGTACTTATATTAGACATAAAACAATAATTAATCCTCTAGGGTTGACCTTGTATAAATAATAATGGAAGGGGATTAAATAATAGTAGCTGGTTAGAAGTTAGAAGCTTATAAGCCGATGACACGATGATATCAAATACGGACAAATGATGATGGTAATAGTCCCATATTCCATACTCCATCCCTTAGGCTAGCAGGCAGAAAAAGGAAGAGTGAGTAAAGGCGACCGACACAAGGCCCACGTGGAAGCATCAAATTTAGGTGCCCTGTCAATTTCATCTTCATTCCAACCCTCCCAACAAAATTCTTTAATCCTTCTCTAATTAAACCTGTTTTGTTATCTGGAATGGACACATATCACTTCACTAAGTACTATAAATTTGGTAAAACCAATCACATTTAACTAACAGTTGAGACAAACTTTCTTACAGCTTCCACCACAAATATAGTTATAGAACGAATTGATGAATTCATTCCAACCTTCTACCAACTTAATGTAACATGTATATTTCAGCATCTGACTGACTGAGACTTATTATAAAATTGGGATCTATCATATATGAGATATGTGGTGTAAGATTATGTTAATAAAAGAGTTGGAACGTGTTTTATTGACAGGTGATCGGGACTCTTGTAGAATCCAAACAATGCTACAAGTCTATCTCTTATCCAATTATAAAAACAGAAATGGATGAGTGTCCTACGTCCAACACCCTGATTTTACATTTTCAATTCTATTCCTCTTTGATTTCATATTTTCAATCCTATCCCCTCTTAAAATGTTGATTTTATATTTCCATTTCTACCCCCTCTTAAAATGTTTGAATTATATATATTTTTTTATTTTTATTTATTTATACAATATATAATATAATATATCTATATCTGTACCATTTATAAAAATAAGGATGGTGACAATGTTCCGTCAAAAAGCCTGATTGTTTACTTTCCATTTTTACCCTTTATCATGTTTTGTATTTTAAATCATGATTTTCACTTTCCATTTTTACCCTTTATTATGTTTTTTATTTTTCTAATTTTATTTAATTAACAGTTAACACTTATAATTGGATAATCTCTGTATCTCATCATTTATAAAAATGAGGATGGTGACAATGTTTTGTCAAAAAGCCTAATTTTCATTTTCCATTTTTACCCTTTATCACGTTTTTTTTATTTTAAAGCTTGATTTTCACTTTCCATTTTTACTCTTTGTTATGTTTTTTACTTTTCAATTTTATTTAATTAACGGTTAACACTTGTAATTGGATAAAACAAATAAAATAACAATAAGACTACTCTAGAACCTATTCCTCGCCTTATCTGATATTCTCCTTAAGCACCTGATTAATTAATGAACCTCTTCATTAATTAGAGCTAACACGTGTCAAGTATCGGATGGTTTGCCCAAACCACAAATTTGTATTGAAGGGAAGAATAGATTTTTTCAACCTCTCTCTTTTCATCAAGGAACAATCAAATGATTAAATGAAGCTCTTTTTTTGTTTTCTCCCTATTTTTTTTCAATTGTCTCTCTTAACGTAATAAGTTGTATTGGATCAGGAAATGCTCTTAGGTTCATTGTGCGTCTGTTTGGAACTGTTGTTGTTGCTCTAGAAAATGGTGCCACATAAGCACCATGTAGGAAAAAACAGTGCTCCATGAAACAACCATCTGTTTGGAACCGTTTTTCCATAGAAAACGGTGCTCCAAGCCACCCCTTGGAAATTAGGAAGGCATGGCTTGGAGGAGGAAGCAAAAATGAAGAAAACAATATCTCTTATCCTACGTTACAATAGTGTATATCTTATCCACTCCCCCTACTTTATAGTAGGAAGGAGGAAGCAAAAATGGCATCTCTCTCTTATCCTATGTACATTTTTCCTCAAAATGAAGAAAACAATATAAATTACAAAAAAAAAAAACAAATAAATATGCAAAAAAAATTACAAAAATATAAAAAATCATAAAAATTTCTATACCATACTAAAAAATGAGAATGTTGTCTGTTTGTACCATTTATAAAAATGAGGATGGTGACAATCTTTTGTGAAAAAGCTTAATTAACAGTTAGCACTTGTAATTGGATAAAACAAATAAAATAATAATAGTTTTTTATTTTTCCAATTTTATTCAGTCAACGGTTCACGCTTGTAACAAATAAAATAATAATAAAACCGCCATGGAACCTACTCCTCTCTCTCCCTAAGGCCTTATTTGATCTTCTCCCCAATAGGGTTGCAATCGGATAAGATTCTGATTGGATGTAGCAAAATCCGCACCCGATTCGAATATTAAGAACCTACATTCAAATTTGATCCAAAATTCGATTTGATTTAGAGACTTGGATTCGAATTTGAATCCTAACAAACTCCTATCGAATTCGGTTTTAATCCAACTCCACTTTAAATTCCCTAAAATACAAGTAAAATTAAAAAATTATTTATTTTTCAACTTTTATATTAATTTAATAAATTAATATAAAATATAACATACTAAATTTATTATATATAAATTCATATATAATATAATATAATATTTAAAATATATTTTTATAAATTTTAATATAATTATATAGAATTTATATATTAAAATTAATAAATAATATAATATAATCATATTCAAATTTTAATCAAATCATATTAGGTCAAATCCAAATCCGATTTGATTATTAATTGGATGTAGATTGTAACATTCGAATTTGATATGTTTACATAAATACATAATCTGAATCCAAGATAATCAGATTGGATGTCGAATTAGGCCTCAGATTTTCGGGTATCATTAGCAGGCCTACTCCCATTAGGCCTACCTGACGAACCTCTTCATTGATTAGAGCTAACATGTGTCAAGTATCGGATGGTTTGCCCAAAACCCATGAATTCAAATTGAAGGGAGGAATGGATTTTTTCGACCTCTCTATTTTCATCATCGAACAATCAATTAGATGATTAAATGAAGCCTGTTTTGGTTTTCTCCCTATTTTTTTCAGGTATTTTTCCCATTTCTCCTCTATTTTGATTGTCTCCGTTAACATAATAAGTTGTATTGGATCGAGAAATGCTTTCAGGTTCATTATATAGATTTGTTTTAGGGTGTTTTGATCTCAACGATCATCAAGCCAGTCCAATAATCTAACACCCTACCAACATAATACCGTAGGGGTTTGGTACTTGGTAGGGTTGTAGGGGTTTGGAATGTGTTTTGTTGGTAGGAGATCCAGACTCTTCTACAAAAATTGGACGGATGTTCAATTCAAATCCGAATATAAATGAATCAAGATCAACCTATATCCAAACACTACTTGTTAGTTATGCAAATAACAACCCTACCATTGACAAGCAGAACAACATGAGGCAAAATGCCAAATATTATCATTCACACATGAAGCGAAGAAATAAATTCTAAAACCCCATTTCTCTCCTTTAAACCCCTCTCTGTA